CACTTGGTTAATAAGATATATGTATTGTATTGTATTCAATGCTCTAGTGATCTGGATATTATTAAAAAATGCCAACTCTACCTCATCAAATTTTTCAGTAGCAGATTTGGCTTCTGCTTCAAGCTTCTCATTTCTACGAAAAAAGAAATAAATAGCGCGTCTTAAAACAGAAAATGTCCTTCAGTACAATCTATTACTTATAATTAATACATGTACTTCTCCACACACTTGGGAATACTGATACGAGAATGTACATACATGCAAAGAATACTCATGGAAAAATATTTATTTAAATTTTTTACCTTTGCCTTCGTTGTTCTTCTTCCTCAAGCCTCCTTGTGGACTCTCTCGCATCAGCTGCAACATGAACATTGGTGACCAGTTCTGTGCCATCAGATTTCAGTTTGACCAAGCGCTGTATAAAAACAACAAGAACAGTTGAAAAAAAGACAATATAATTTGCTCCTCTGCAATCAAAGCGACATCGACATTAAGTTCGTTACCTATGAGCAGAAAAAGGGGTTCTGTTTAATACTGGTGCAGTTAATCTTTCGAATCAATCTTAAAAGCGTAAGAGTACGTCTGGCTGTTGTGTATTCATTTAGTGGAGACACACTCTTCATGCAATTGCTTACTATATTCTGTCTTTATTCATTGATCAAGTATCTTATAAGCTGGTACAGTAATCTTACTTGATAACAGTACTTTCACATCATTCAGTAATCTTACAGTAATATCACTAACATTAAAACAAGTACTTTTACTTAGAACAAATTGTTCTCAATACACTACACTAGTACTAGCTATAAAGTGTAAACCTGTCTGCTGTCTTCCATTTGTTTTCGACTTTTAAGTGCATCTTTCTCTGAATCAACTGGCTTCTTCTTCGCAGCATCCTCTCCACTTGCTTCCCTAATATTCAGAGAAAGAACAAAAAGTTCTGCAAGTTCAAAACATTCCCAACCCTTTGCAGACATAAAGCAGCTTTTATACCTTCTTGCTGCTTCAAGACGTCTTTGTATTCGGATTCTCCGCGCAGCTATCCGTTCTTCTGCATTTTCAGAATCCACAGATGGTCCTTCCTCCTCTTCGTCTTCATGGGAATTCATATCGTTCGTTTTCCAATCAAATTTCTACAAGAAAATTGTCCATGAAATGTTCAACTCACAACTGTTCGGCTGACTGTATTTATTCGTTGTTACCTTGGTAACCTGGTGATCTCGCTTAGTCTCCAATCTTTCTCGTAGTACACGACATGTCCTGGGTTCCATAGATGAGTGAAGAAGAACATGGCGACTTTGACGAGTTCTACGGTTTCGGAGTGTCAGAAGTTTTTCTTTTTCTTGTCTCGACTAATCCGGGAATATCAAGATTCATAATGATCAGGTGTTCCATGTGTATGGCTGAGGAAATCCTACATATTATCTTCCCTAAAACTCACCTGTTTTCCGTATAAAAATTAATTCGTGTCGCTCGGATTTGTGTGAAGTTTATAATTTCCTTTGTATGTTGATTGGAATTAAGAAGCCTACGTTTCACAATTGAAAGGTTATTCCTGATGTCTGAAGCTGATTCAACGATGCCAAGAACTAAGCAATCTATTGAACACACTGGATTTAAAACGATCGAGAACATTGGCAAACTTGTTTTGCACCTTATTCTTCGGTTCTGGAGAGCATGCAGTGCGGCCATGCTAACGCTTCTTCTTCTTTATTGGTTATACGGAGGAGTTGTCAGCTTTTTGTTGTTAACAGCAGCAGTGTTTGGCGCCCTGTACCATTATCAAGACACTTTGCTTTACTTCCCGGAACAACCTGTCACATCAAGAGTGTATGTCCAGAACCCTGCTGTCCTGGGTTTGCCATTCGAAAATTTGTTCATCAAGACACAAGATGGCGTGAATATTAACGCTATATTTATAAAACAAACACCTCAGTTTCAGAGCTCTGTTCCCACCGTGTTGTTTTTTCATGGAAATGCAGGAAATGTCGGCCACAGACTAATTAATGCAAGGAGCTGGCATAACTACTGTGGTTGCAATATATTATTGGTGGAGTACAGAGGATATGGAAAGAGTGAGGGCTCTCCCAGTGAACATGGTAAGGTAGTTGATAATGTATTTTGGCCACCATAAAGAGTTTCTAAAGGTGAAGTTTGGAGCATTATCTGATATAGGGCTAATGCTGGAAATGTCATCTTTAGAAACTCTTTATGGTGGCCAATACACATAATTAAAAACTGGATCATTGGATAATGCAATTCAAGACTTTTTATTGGCTTAGCCATTATGGTATATGAGCCAATATACCGTAATCTAAAAATATGGTAAGCATATGTGTCAGCTTAAAATTAAACAAGAGCTAAAAAATTTAATAAAATTGAATATTTACTAATCTTTTCATGTTGTCCTTCAGCAGCATTGTTGAAATATATACAAATTAATTGAATGAAGTCTTACACTGCTGTAAAAAGTAAAATGTTTCACAAATCTGAGCTTTCGCTGATCAACAGTCAATTTAATTTAATGTTTTTAATAAAACGATTATTCCACTCACGCTTGTTGGATATTAGATGATTATAGCAACTTGGCACTATGTGCCTCGTCAGCTATCTATCATCTCATATCCAATGCGTGCTCGCTGAATAATTGTTAATTATCACTCAAGTGTAGAAAACCAAATTATCCCATTGTACCCCCCTCTGACACAACACTACATTTGCTATAGAATCTTACCCACTTTAACTCTTTAACTCTTTTGAGTGATCAACACAGAATTTCTCCTTACATTATCAATACAATATCAAGCAGTCAAGTGATGAGAATAAAGAACGATGTTAAGCAGGGGATGATTAGTTAATCAAATACCAAATTCTCCAAACTTACATCATAAGAACTGTATGACAGACAGTAAGGAGAATTCCTACTGAGATCGTGGGAATGAAAAGGTTTAGCCTTTTACACCATAACATCAATATCCATAGTATCCATAATTTTCGTTATTCATTTCATCTGCAGTAACAAGGAGAATTGATTCTTTTTAGGTTTTAGTTTTATAAGATACATGTGTATGTCATTTCCTTTCATGGGTTGATTTTCTACAACAGTCTTTAATATTACTGATTTTTTTTTTGATTTTTTTGTATCTTATTTTTCCCCCATTTTAACAAATTAGAATCCAATTGAATAATTTACAAGAAAGATAAGAGGATGGAGAAGGGCATAATATAGCAAGCTAATTCAATACCCTTTATGTTAAATTACATTTTTTCATATAGTAAAAGAGGCGATACAAACATAAGATACAAATATAAGAAAGGGAATAGCAATCACACCTCAAACAACAAATGTGTAAATAAAACATGGTCAGAAGAAGACATTAATCAGTGCTAAGAAAGGTAATGTAAGAAAAGTACTCTTTTAAAAAGTTTTTTAGTGGCCTTCTTTTGTATATTATTATTGATCCTAACTGGTAGCTGTTCTACAAGCACAAAAATTATTTTATCCCCTTACTCCCACATCTCATTAGTAATTCTCCTTATTCTTCCACATAATTTTTATCATGCTATCTCAGAGAATATTGAATCAACTTGTAATCCCTTAATTGACATTCATCTTTATTCTCATCACTTGTCTGTCTGGTATTGCATTGATATTGTTAGGAGAAATTCTGGTTTGGTCACTCACAGGAGTTAAAGAGTTAACAGGTAAATGTTGGATTAATTTTTTTTTTTTTTATTGCAGGGTTTGAGTTGGACTCAGAAGCTGCTTTTTCTTATCTGTTATCGCGGACTGATATAGACACAAATAAAATTGTTATATTTGGACGTTCCTTGGGTGGGGCAGTGGCAATTGCTCTGGCATCAAATGAACTTTATCTGGATAAAGCATTTGCTTTGATTGTGGAGAACACATTTACGAGTATTCCAAGCATGGCCAATCAGCTTGTTAATGGGCTTGGTAAACTGCCTTACTTCTGCTTTAGAAACAAGGTAATTCAATGAGTGGTTCTAACCCAGTAGTAACAGCCTGTAGTATATTTTTGCAGTTAAAACGTGTGCTATGACTGGTCAATTTAGCAGGCTGTATTTCACTGTGTGCCTGCTAAATTCAAAAGTTTGTTTGTTTGAATTGAAATTTCCCCTTCAATTTGAATCCAGAGATAAAATAAAAATAGAACCAACCTTGTTTTCTCAGTCCATAACTTACTTTCCCCCCCTTGAATTTATGGCCTACATACTTTGTGCAGGGTCTTTTGCTCAGGCCAAGGGCTAACACTTAAAGAGTCAACTTAATTGGTAAAGCTAGTAATTCTCTCACAATACCCCCACTACTTTGGCACCAGAGTTTTTTTTTTTTTAGAAATTTGCCACCTTTAGTTAATATTTATTTACTCTGTTTGATACTTATGTCTTGCAGTTTGATTCTTTGAAGAAGATCCGCAAGTCAAGAGTTCCAACCCTTTTTCTGTCTGGATTGGCTGATCAACTGATCCCTCCAAGAATGATGACTAGCCTCTATAAGGTTCGTTTTGATCAACCATGATCTTCCTCTCACTTTAACAGTCT